TCATACTAATCAACTGATTAAAAATCCATGTCGTACAATACATAGAACTTTTCTTTACAGGAGATCTTGAATCTTCTATTTTCTCCTTTATTTTCATAACTTTCAATTAAACGGTTTTTTCAAAAGATCGAAATAATTTTGAGGATTTTGGAAGAAATTTTATAAGCTCAAATATAATATTAGTCTTACGAGGGAAGTCTCCCAACTGATAAATCGCTTTTGAGTCGAGGCTACGTGTATTATGTAGAACCAAATGAACTATGAATATAGCCTGAAAACATTTAAGATCTTTAGCTTATTGTTGCTGAAATATTGTATTTTTACGGTAGTTTTTAAGTGAGTATCATGATTCTTCTCAGGAACATCGGGAAAAACTGATTTTCAAATTTCGACTTGAAACTTTGCACAAAAAGACAGTCCTTAAGAAGAATAGTTTCTTATGAATTTTTTAAATCTTATCATTGCTCATATATAGCAATAGATTCGATGTTCTTATTTTAGGGCAGAAGCAAATCAAAAGGCTTGACACTTTTACAATAAACTATTCTTAGTAAGGTCTACCTCGGTATAAAATTTCAAGTCGAAATTCGAAAATCAGTTTTCCTGGGTGTTTCTAAAAGGGATTATGACATTAATTTAAAAACTAGCATAAATTTGCAATATCTATATAACAATAACCTAAGGATCCGAACTCTTTTCAGACTATTCAAATACATGATGCAACATAGTACTGATCTAAAAGCGATTTATCAATTGGAACTAGGTATATTTTGATATAAATATACTAATTAAAATTTCAATTTTGAGAGAAATTAATCAATGAAGTAAAGACTTCTATAACATCTGGCGTATAGTTTCTCCAAGAACGATCTTCTATTTGGGAGAAAGATTTAATTCAGAACGTTATCGATACCAATGATCAAGTTTTCGATCAGTTTTGTCGAGACTGAAAGAAATAATAAAAGCTGATGAAGCTTACTTATTTCTTTCGAAAAGAAAAAATTTTCTATTCGTGTTTTATTTTTAATCTAATAAGATAATGTCTTACCTCGACAATATTTGGATGTTTTAATTGTTTAAGTACAGCAATTTCAAATAGAATTCGTTTTTTTGGTTCAAAACTTTCAACATATCGATGAATTTTAACTTTAGTTTTTTTAATAAATTTAATAACAACTCTATTTAATTCATTAGATTTTTCATAACCAAGATAAACTTGTCCATAACCACCACGACCACGTTGTCGTGTAATAATATATTTTGTATCAAATGTTTGATTATCATTTAATGATGATGATATATTTAAATATGATGTTGATAAATCATCTATTGGTATTATTGATTGATTATGATCAAGCATTTTTTGCATTTCAATTAAATGTGGATCAGTATTATCACGTGATAACCACATACAATAACGATATGTTCCATCAGATAAATCAATACGACGTATTGTATAAATCACACCAATAAATGTTCCATTTTTATGTTTGCCTATTGTTTGTAAAAAAGCTAAATGCAAAAAAAAAAAAAAAAAAAAAAAATTTAATTTTAACAAATTAATACTTAAATATATATAAACCTGT